GTGTCTGTTTTATTCTATATTTAGTTTTCATAAATTATTCAAAGGTGTTTTAGGAAAATCATTAAGCTTTTTCCAAGCCTAACCTCTGGTGGTTCAAACAGAAAATATGTAGGTTAGGGAACAGGCTGCCATATTGGTGGTCAGGGGTCACCTTACTTGGGAAGGCCACTGAGTACTCAGCTGGAGCCTGGATCCCTTCAAACATCTGGAGTCAGCACCTAGCATGTGCCAGGCCCTATGGGCACCACTGACCAGCAGCGTCTTTTGGTCCAGCCAGACCTCACTGAGCTCATCTGGCAAGGAAGATGTACCAGAAAGCCAGGTGATTCCAACATCAGGGGCTTTGGCAATGTAGACAAAGCTCAAGAACCAGGCTGGTTCAAAGCAAAGCTTCCTAGAACCTCGGAGGGACAGTTTGAGGGAAGGAATATGAAGCATGCTAGCCCTAATATGACAAGGGAGATGAAAGACCTAAAAAGTGCTTGGAGCCGGGCGGTGGTGGCACATGCCTTTAATCCCAGCACTCGGGCGGCAGAGGCAGGCGGATCTCTGGGAGTTCGAGACCAGCCTGGTCTACAAGAGCTAGTTCCGGGATGGGCACCAAAGCTACAAAGAAACCCTGTTTCGAAAAACAAAAAAAAGTGCTTGGGTGACAAGAACAATTGTGCAGCAACAGGGCCTGGGTCACTTTGATAATCACCACACCTGTTGCTGTAAGCTGATAAAGCAGCTTCAAGGAGAAAGAATATTTGTGGTAGGGATGTCCTGGTCATAGGTGTTGGAAGTGACTGTCACCTTGCATCTGTAGTAAGGTAGCAAAGACAGACGGATGCTACTGCTTAGCCCCTTCAACTTTTTTTTTCACTTTCCAGATACGGTTTCCTTATTTAACCCTGGCTGTCCTGGAGCTTGCTCTGTAGACCAGGCCGGCCTCGAAGTCAGAGATCACCTGCCTCTGCCTCCTGAGTGCTGTGTGTGCCACTCTACACCTAACTCACTTTCAATTCTCATTCCATCTGGTGTAAGCGGAGACTGCTCATTTGTTTGTCCTGGCTGCTCAGACCCAGATAATCACACAGAAACTCTATTAATGACAACACTGTTTGGCCTGTTAGCTCAGGCTTCTTATTAACTAACTCTTAATCTTAAATTAATCCATTTCTATTTATCTGCATATCACATGATACCGGTAGGCCACAGCCTAAAGGTTCTGGGCGTCTGTCTCCTTTGTCAGCTACATAGCATCTCCCTGACTCCGCCTCCTTTCTCTCTAGATCTCTGTTTGGATTTCCCACCTGGCTTTGCTCTGCTAAGCCATTGGCTCAAACAACTTTATTCATTAACCAATAAAAGCATCACATATACAGAAGGACATCCCACATCAACTTGGGACCCCAGCCTGTTGAATAGTGGCCCCGAGAATTTACATGGGTAAATTCTGCCACTTGAATAAATCTAATTAGATAATCCTTCACAGGCATCCCCAATGTGCTCTAGGTGACTGTGGAGCCTGTGAGGTGGACAGTATTCCCACAGAGGCCCTCCTGTGGGCAGTCACTGCAGGACTTGGCCCTGGTAAAGGCCTCCATCAGATCTGCATGTTCTTCCTTGGTAATCCACCTGATTTGGCTCCACACGGATTTAGAGGCACTGAGCAGTCATCTCCATCCTGAGGAGGTCAGGAGGTGTGGTGTGTGGTGCCACCACCTACCACTCAGACTTCGTTAGGACTGATGAGTATAGGAACAGCGCTTCCTGAGCGCGGCAGCACACATCCATCCGTCAGGAGTCTAGGAGGCTAGCGCAGGAGGCTTTGGAAGCTGGAACCAATTTCACCCGTGTGAGAAGTGTCTGGCTCCAAACCCAGAAGCTTTTCATGCAGCCTACTGTAGCTGAGGAAGACCTTGAAGTGTGGGTTGTGGGTATAAGTGTGTGCAGGCGTGTGTACACCAGGCCCGTAATGGCCACCCCATGCATATGGGGGTCAGAGAATAGCTTCTGTGAGTCACTCACCTCGTTCCCCTGTGCACTGAAGGTAGGTCATCAGGCCCGTGTGGGAAAGTGCTTTTACTCACTGGGCTACCTTTTATGCCCGACCTTGAACTTCTAATCTTCCTGCCTCCAACTCCCGAGTGCTTAGTTTACAGGTGTTAGTGGTGCTGGGAATTGACCCCAAGCCTGTAGGTGTACGAGGTGCACACTCCACCTACTGAGTTATATCCCCGGCTGAAACATGCATACAAGCACAACTCTTAGACTGTCATTGTACCTATTGTGGGGTGACTGATACAGGCGGGGTTATTTTTTGGAGTTCTCCTGAGTCCTGCCTAACAGGGCCACTGGTGTCCCATCACCTCTTTGCTAGTGACAGGGAAAAACTTAGAGTTGTCTTAGAACCTGGCCCACCGTGCTAAAGGACCCCAAGTTGAGCCCCAGATTCCCTTCCTGCTCTGAGGACTGTAGAGTCTGAAGCCAGGGCTGCCTCTCTGCCAGTGGGACCTGGCACACTGGTCACTCCAAATGCAGCAATGGGTCCTCACTGACCAAAAGACATCGGGCCCTGAAGGAATGCATGGGGCGGGAGGGGGGCACAGCTTCACTTGCAGAAGCCTCACGCAGGGCCGTGTGGTTGAGGGTCTCTCTCTTTTGCCTCTCTTATATGTAAAGTCCTTGTGCCCGGCACCAGGCACTGAGAACACCTGACATCAGGACACCGTGTGACGAGAGAGGGAAAGAAACATTGCACAAGAAGAGCAAACAGCTCCTGTGTGTGGAAATGGTCAGACGCTGACTGGGGACGGGGCGGGGAGGTCCGGGGAAGGTCCTGTCCTGCAGTCCCAGGGCTGATCATGAGTAAAGGTCCCAGGGGCGGAAACAGTTAAGGTAGAGGCCAGAATGAGGAACCAACTGCAGGGTGGCTTTATTTTTGAGACAAGGTCTCCTGTAGTCCATGCTGGACTTGAACCTTGTAGAGGGAGGCGGCCTTGAATGGACTCACCTGCCTCCGTCCCCACCCTGCAATGCTGGGTTCTAAGCACCTTCCACCACACCCTTTTTTAACGTGGTGCATCTTCCCTTACATCCCCAGCCCGTTGGTTGATGCTGAGGTAGGCTCCCCGTGTAGATCTGGCCTGCCTGGACCTCACTCTGGAAATCAGGCAGTCCTTCTGCCTCTGTCTCCTGACGACTGGGACCTCAGCCATGTTCCAGCGGGACGTTTCTAACCACCTGGTCTCTTCAGAGGTTGATTCTGGATGGGGTGGATAAGAGCTGCGGGGTCTGAGGAGTTTGAGGGGGCTCTGCAGCCCAGACCCTGGTTGTACTAGATCCTGGTTGAAGCCCCAAGGGAAATCACCCAGTCACAACACTGTTGTAGCACGCAGTCTGCAGAAGCCCCAGCGGGGAAAACCTCAACTAGCGTAAAGCAGGCTGCCGAGGCCTCTCGAAAGTGCCGAAAGTGCAGGCGCCTGGGTTTGCACTCTTGTCTTAGCTCTCTTGCTGCTTGCTAATAAGATATGCAAATGATCAGGGCTGTGAAATCCTAGACCCGTTCCATCTTATGTTTAATTAGCATTTAATCTAATCTGGTTTTAATTTTTTTTCACACTGGCACCCTAATTAAATGTTAGGGTGTTAGTCTTAACAATTAAATTATATTGGCAAATAGAGTCTTCAGGAAACTTGACCTTTTTTGAAGTCAGAGCCCTCTCCAGCTAGATGCAGATATTAATTAGATTCTGCGAGATGCAGCTTCTAGGTCCATTGATGAACCCATTCAGCTCTTTTCCCGTGGTTATGGTCCTCGATTCCGCGAGGCACACACAGCCAGTGAACTGGCCCCGGCAGGCAGTGGGTCAAAGCTGAAGGGGTTTGTCAAGAGCCTCCAGAGGGCCAGGTGAACTGACTGAGCCCCAGGACTTACACTTCAACAGAGGGTGTTAACTTCGCGAAAGGGCTGGGGTGGGAGGCGGGGCTTAGGCCTCGAGTGCCCTTGAAGTGGCTTCTCCTCTCATTGACTCCAGCTATTCCTTAGCTTGTGATTCTCAAGTGCTGACCGCTGGGAAAGTTGGGACTTGAGTAAGTCACGTGGTGTCTAGAGGTACCACTGTATTCCGTAGCCACATTTTGTGGGTGGGGTACAAAAACAAGAGGCGTTGCCGTTGCCAGCTGGGAGGGGGTTCAGAAGTTATTCCGGGTAAGGTTGAGAGGCCACAGACAGAACAAGGCAGAGAACAGTTTTCCTAGAGAGGGAGCAGATTGGTGGCAGAAGAAACCCCAAAACATGACTTCGTGGCAGTTCCCAGACAGGCTTAAGGATGACCAAAGACAAAAGTCTTCTTCCCCGCCACGTACCAGTGAAGGGCTGCACTTGAGCTCTGGGGTGTGACACAGAGTGTCTCTGAGAGAACTTGGAAGTCACAGCTCATGGAAGTTTCTCATTGGGCTGTGCCAGGCCCCAGCTTTACCCTTCGTTAGAAGGCCCACGTCTTCCTTCCTGGGACCAGTACCTCATATTATACATACGCTTGTGCCTCTGGGTGCAAGTCTGTAGCACGGTTTTAAACCTCCACAGGCAAGCCCCGGAACGTTCACATAGCGGGGAGTGTGTTGTGTTTGCAGGTAGCCGTTCTACTCTTGGAGTCTCTGTGTCTGGCTGGCTGGCTGGCTACAGGAGCCAGGAGGCCAGGTCAAGACCATCAGACCTGGGGATGAAGGGGTGACCGCGTTTTGGTGAGGGACCTGCCGGGCATGTCTTTCTTTCCCTATTCTCTAGATCTCTGTTGTCTGTTTCCATTCTTTAAGACAGAGGATAATTTACAGGAATCTCTCCTTTTCCATGTGGGCATCAGTTCAGGTCACCAGGCTTGGCGGCAAGGTCCGATACCTGCCTGGCCGTTTCACTGCCCCCACTCTCTGCTGCCGTATCTGCTCGCTGCCCTAACCTGTGAAACCGGCCTCTCTGAGGCAGCATGAAGACTTCACCCTCTCACCTCTGCCAGGTTTTCCGGACAGACTTGATCACAGCCATGAAGATCCCAGATTCGTACCAGCTCAGCCCGGATGACTACTATATTCTGGCGGACCCGTGGCGACAAGAATGGGAGAAAGGTGTGCAGGTACCTGCTGGAGCGGAGGCCATTCCAGAGCCTGTGGTGAGGTGAGCCAGGTGGCCAGGCTAGGACCATCGGGGCAGGGCAGGAAGGGGAGGCTGGTTTAGGTAAGAGACATACCTGTTCTGGGATTCCTTCTCAGCCTGTCTCTTAGTGGTTAATTTTCTTGCCAGATAAAAATAACAACAGCAAGCCGGGCGATGGTGGCGCACGCCTTTAATCCCAGCACTCGGGAGGCAGAGGCAGGCGGATCTCTGTGAGTTCAAGCCCAGCCTGGTCTACAGAGCTAGTTCCAGGACAGGCTCCAAAGCCACAGAGAAACCCTGTCTCGAAAAACCAAAAAAAAAAAAAATAACAACAGCATATACATTGGTTCAGAAATACTGGTAGGGTTACCTTTGAGGCTTTGGGCTTGAAGTCACCTCTGAAGCCAGATTACCTTGGTCCAAATTGCGTTTTACCTTCAGTAGGACCTTGAACCAGAAATATAATCTTTCTGGGCCTCGTTTTTCTTGCTTCTGAATAAGGGTGAAGGCTGCTTTCCTTGTGGTTGGAGGAGGTGTGGTAAACAGTGCATAGCAGATGTTACAGATACGGCTAGGGTTCGAACGTCACCATTCTGCACAGCAGGCAGAGCGGGCCAGGCAAATCTCCAGACTTTGACCATCCCTTACATGAGAATAGGCCATGCCTAAAATTGTTCTAAGTCATTACCCGTTAAAACAGCTCTTACAGGGAGGAGCCTGGTGCCCATCACCCAGTAGGGGCCTAGGAAGCACTCGCTGGTGTCACCTGCTGAGGAGTCTGTCCTGTAGGGCTGGGTTAGAGTTCTCTAGGGCTTCATAACCTGCTGGTCTTGTGGGCAGAGACTGTTGCCCGGGTGTAACCACAAATGGTTTTGCCTTAAACTACAGACTATGCTGCAGAGCTTCATTCTGAACCTGAGGGGACTGGTGGCCTGTCCTCCTTGTCCCACCAGCTAACCTGAGTTGGGCGGTTTCTGTGAGTGCCCCTTCCTGGTGTTGGCAGCTTCCTGGCTTTTGAGAGATGAAGCTGAGGGCACAGGTCACAGCTGTCCGTTCCTTTGACGTTGACACCATTGCTTCCTGGTAACCACATCTATGAAGAGCTTGCTTCATGCAAGCCCTGTGCTAGGACTGCAGGCAGTGGAGAAGCAGACCAACTCTAAAGGAATGGATATGGGAAGGCCTTTCCTCCAGTGACGTGAACTAGTCTAGGGCTCTCCAGTGTTGGGAAGCTTGGGCCCATCTGGAGTGCCTGGGAGTATACAATGGGTGGTTGGGTGGGTTCGTGGATGGGTGGGCGGGTGGACAGATGGATGGACAGATGGATGGATGGATGAGTAGGTGAGTGGACGGATGGATAGACGGACAGGTGGGTGGGTGGGCGGGTGGGTGGATGGTGAATCAATCCATTCTTACTATCTTCATCCCTTCTGGGGCCTGCAACACGGGCCAAGAGTGTAGTAAGTTTCATGCCCTGACCTTTTCAGTCAGGAGAACCATGGCCCGACTTCTCGGGGGCAGTCTGCTCCTCCGTGAAACTGGAATGATATCAATACCAGTGGCCACCTAATGATGCGGGACTCAGGATTGCATGAGAATTCTCACACCAGCTTGTCACCTTATGTGCCAAGGCCAGGGGGATGAAGAGGGATAGGCTAGCTGCTCAAACAGAGAAGCAAGTCCTGATTGGAGTCACCTGGGAGTGTGACCTCTGCACCTGATGTCAATGACAGGTGCTTCTGGGAATGTCTGCTGGCATCATCGTTTATTACGGTTGCTTCTACCCCCTCCCCCCCCCCCCCCGTGGCTTGGCTTCATTCGGTCTCTGTGTGGGAAATTTTATCTGATGCCATGGAGGGGGGCCTTGCTGTCCTGACCTCCTGGTGTCCGGTGCTAGCTTCCTTCATCTGATTTGGTTGGAGTAGCCCGCTTTTTTTTTTTTTTCATGATACGTGGTCTCATATGCCCAGGCCAGTCTTGAACTTAGTATATATCCAAGGATATAGTACACCCACAGCATTCTGTTTGGGGGACGTGGGGGGGGGGAGAAAGATTTATTTATTTTTGTTTTATGGGTATGTGTGTATGCCCTCAGAGGCCAGAAGAAGGTGTTGGATCCTCTTGGAATTAAGAGTTACAGATGGGGGTCTGGAAAGATGGCTCTGTGGTTAAGAGCACCACCTGTTCTTCCACCCACATGGCAGCTCACAACTGTCTGAAGATCCAGTTGCAGGGGATCTGACACCTTCACAACAATGCATATAAAATAAAGTTAAATAAAAATTTTTTTTAAAAAAAAGAGTTACAGGTGGTATAGCCACCATGTGGGTGCTGTGAATTGAACCCGAGTCCCTTGAAAGAGTGGTCAGTGCTCTTAACCCCTGATTCTCTTAAGCCCCGATTCTCACAGCCGTGCTGGGCTGACAGGAGTGATATTCACAGCCTCCCCATACTCAGGGAAGATGTACTGAGGTAGGCAAATGTGTCCTCAGGTGAACCACACCCCCGCTTCCCAGTCTCCCCACGATCAGTGCTACCACCTGCCTGGGTGCCTCCCTGCTCACTGCACAGCCCCCTGCAAGCCTTTGTGACAACTACCTTGGGGGACACTGAGAGCCTCCCAAGTCAAGCCTCTCCCCGTCTTTTGGTGATCACATTTATAGGGTAGATATAGTACTGTCCCCATTTTATAGATGAGGAAGTTGGGAAATTCTGGGGAATTTCCTATGGGGCCTAGTAGGCCACCAGGCCAGGAAATGACAGACCACAGTGACAAACCCTGGGCTGTCCCTTGTCCCTGCGAGGCCTAGAGTGAGAGCGTGAAGCATAGCCTGATGGCTCTCGCCCATAGACGTCCCAGCCGACTCTCCGCCCCTTCCAAACAGTCCATTGGGCAGTTCTGCCCACCTCGTGGACTAAAATCTGCCGCTGAGGGTTTGCGCTGGCCCTTTAGACTTGGTCCAGGGCAAATGCGACCTCTGGTGTCTGTCTGCTTCTCTGGGCTAGAGTCTTTGCTCTCCTCTGTGGCTCTTAGCACTTTCTTCCATCCCATCCAGCCCATGTCTACCGGCTGTGTCTGAGGGTAAGGCCTTGGCATAGGGTCAGGTCAGTCCATGACTGGTAGGAGATGCTCTTTCTTGTGTGTGTCCCTCAGCCCTGGCTCCCCAGGTGGCACCGGTGAAGCAGGCAGGTGTGATTAGTGTGTGTTATGCAGAAGGTGGCTGTTCGGATAAAGATGCTGAGACGCTTGATTAAGCGTGTGCTTCAGGCACACACACAAAGCTGGAGTGTGACCGAATGCTAGGCTGTGTTTTTAAGAGATGTTCATTTGGAGCGACAGTTTCTTGGGAAAGGCAGCATTTGGTTAGACTGAGGGCATAGTGTTGGCTTCTATTTGGAATCATCTACTTGATGTGGGAGGAGGGTCCTGCCGTCATTGGTACTTAAGCCTCTCATGAGGGCTTCTGAAGTGGGATGGTGGTGCTGACTCTTAACTTTTGGCCCCTTCCCTGTCCCTGGTCCTAATGACCTCTAAGCCTACAGTCTATCCCCTGCTTGCACCCCTGCCTCTCTGTGCCTAGCATCCTTCCTGTCCCCTTGCTGACACCAGGGCATTTCCTGAAGCCAGGGGCCCTCCCTGAAACTCAGTCCTGTCCCCATGCCATCTTACCCAGCCTGAGCTGAGTCACAGCCCTTGGCAAGCCCTGCCTCCGACCCCAGGAGGCCTCCCGGGCAAGTGTGAGGCCTCTCAGGCCTGGCAGGGCTGGCCAGATGGAGGCCAGGCTCCAAACAATAACCATGGCAACCAGTGGGGTATGGGAAGGGCTGGCATTTTGAACTGGCCTCAAAATCTGATGGGTAGCACACAGATGCGTGAAGAGGACCCCACCCATCTGTGGCGAAATGCCCCTTCCCATTTCAGGAGGAGAGGGATGGTTGACATCTAGAGATCTTAACACATTCTCTCTCTCTCACCAGCCCACCTCCCTCGCTACCCAGCACTTTGCCAAGTGCTTTCTTTTTTTTTTACCAAGTACCTAAGGTAGATTGTGTTAGTGGGATTCTGTTTGGGGACCCAGTCAGATGGAGCTTTGGTGCCTGTAACAGGTCCATTGACCCCGAGGCAAAGCTGACCTGGGGTGGGATCTGAGACAGTGTTGCGAGTTTGGTTGTTTAGGGAGGCAGGCTGAAGCAGTAAGAAGCAGGATGCCTATATGGTCCCTGGGGAGGGTCAAGGTGTGTGGCTAGCATTTCACTGTGGCAAGAGACCTTCAATCCAGAAAGCCCTTTCCTGGGCTGTACAGTGGAACCGTACAGAGATTCAACTTCTGAGAAAAGCAGACAAACTCATTTTAACTTAAGACCATGACACCTCCAGGCTGTTGGTGAGGAGGGGCTGGGCGTTATGAAGCCATGGAGACAGTCTTTGGTCCTAGCCTGGAAAAGTATGCCAAAATGTCTAGAGTCCAGTTGGCTCTATCTCACTTGTCCCCAAGTAGTTGGCACAAGGCATTGCCCAGGATGGCACTTGGGACACCTGGAGCACCAGGCAGGGGCTGGTCCAGGTTGGGAATAACCCTGACTGGGCAGGGCAGATGTCATTCCCACATGGACCTCACTCTGCTTTATGGCCCTTAGGGTCTGCTATTCCTGGAGATGCATAGTTAATGGAGTCTATAAGGCAGACTGGCAACATAGAAAGAAATGGAAAGAGGGGATGGATACAAGGGGCGGGCCTCGTGGGGCATCAGCGTCTCATGTCTTCCCTGGGGTCCCCAGTTCCTCGGCCAGGTTGACTGAGGAGAACCAGCTAAGGCTCCTCCCTTTACCACTCCCTCTCTTGGCTTCACAGGCTCCTCCCACCACTGAAAGGTCCCCCTACACAGGTGTCCCCAGACAGCCCCACACTTGGTGAGGGTACCCATCCTGACTGGCCAGGAGGCAGCCGCTACGACCTGGATGAGATCGATGCTTACTGGTTGGAACTCCTCAACTCAGAACTCAAGGAGATGGGTAGGTGATCCTTCCGCACCGGGTGTATGATTGCAGCCGGCAGGGATCATCTTCTTCCCAGCCCTGGATAGCGTCTACACCTCCAGAGAGGCAGTGGCTGTGACTGGGGGACATCCTTACAGCTTTACTGTGTGGTGTGTCTTTTGTTGTCTCTGTCTCCCAGGTATCTACAGTTGTCAGGCAGGGGTAAGAGTAAGAAGTAATTCACAGGGCTCAATGACACATGAAGTTAGCGTGCTGGTAGAAACAGTGTTAATAGGTGTGAAGCTTCCTGGATGAAGCCCGTTGACATGTCCCCGGGGAAGATCAGCCTGGCCACTATCTGAGTGGACACAGATAATATACACACAGTGTAAGGAGCGGATCTCTCATGAAGCCAGCTGCATCCCACAGACACCCTTCATTGTTCCCATACAGTGGGAGGGAGTGGTCACGGGCCCTCCGAGTAGACAGTGAAGCAGCCGTGATGGGCAGGAACCTTTGGGATTGGATGGTCCATTTGTCCTTGATGGAGCTGAGGCCCCGGTCATACTGTAGATGGCTGGACGGAGCCTTCTCCCTAACACCACGGATACCTTTGCCCTGATTGCCGCAAAGCCTGCTAAACTGCTAATGGGTGTCCTCTGCTGTCCCGCCTGCAGAGAGGCCCGAGCTGGATGAGCTCACACTAGAACGCGTTCTTGAGGAGCTGGAGACATTGTGCCACCAGAATATGGCCCAGGCCATTGAGACACAGGAGGGGCTGGGCATCGAGTACGATGAGGACGTCGTCTGTGACGTGTGCCGCTCTCCTGAAGGCGAGGACGGCAACGAGATGGTCTTCTGTGACAAGTGCAATGTCTGTGTGCACCAGGTGGGTGGACCCTATCGCCCTCTCCCTTACCGTGTGCACGCACACTGCCTAAGCCCTGATGACGCTGGTTGAGTTGGTTATAGGAGCATGCGCACTGTGGACCAAGAGCCCTAAGGAGGACTAGAGACAGAGAAGTTAGTAACACAAATGCCTGGCAGTACCTGGGACATCCGGGGCCTCCTTGACTCAGTCCTGCTAGCCAGACCTAAGCAAGTGTCCTTTGGGGAGTCTGTCTTCTCTGTGTCTTTCTCGGGTCTTCCCCTCAGAAAACTGTCCCCAGCTCCTCACATCCTGACCTTGCAGAGGGACAGTGGCATCAGGTAGTGATGGAGAGAGAGCCAAGCTGCCTGATTCAAAGCATGGTTCTGCCTTCACAACTCAGGAGGCTCAGGGGAAAGTTCCTGGCTTCTCTGAGGGCTCTGCCTGATACTCATCCCCAGCACTACCCCAGGCGCCCCCCAAAAAGCAAATTGTTTGTGGTAAGTTATTTGCTTAGTGAAAGATAATAGGGCTAAGCTTGTGAGGTGGCTCAGTGGGTAAAGAGACTTGTTTGGAAGCTTGATGACATGAATTCAGTACCCATATAAGGTGGAAGGATTGAACCGACTCACAAAACTGTCCTTCGGCCTTCACATGTAGCCTGTGGCCTGCCATATTCTGTCCCCAATAAATTAGGAAATACATACAGTACAACTATACTAGAGTGTTTCTTACCGTTGTAACAGTGCAAGCCTTTCTTTTCCTTTAAAACTTTTCTTTTCTCTTTAAAACTTTTCCTTTTCTTTTTTTTTGAGGGGGTGGGTGGATAGGTGTGTGTGTGTGTGTGTGTGTGTGTGTGTGTGTGTGTGTGTGTGTTTTGTATCGGTGGGTCCCTGTGGAGGCCAGGGGTAGCCAGTCTCACTGGAGCTAGAGTTAAAGGTGGTTGTGAGCTATCTGATGTGGGTATTGGGAACTGAACTCAGGGCCACTGAAAGAGCCGCAAATGCTCTTAACTGCCAAGCCATCTCCCCAGCCCACAGATACCCTTTCTTTATTTCTTAAAAATCGTTTTATTATTGTATGTATAGGGTGTTTTGCTTCATATATGTGAGTGAATTAGGTGTGTGCCTCTTGTGGGATGTTTTACTCTTTTGGTTTTTACCCAACTCCCAAGTAAATCACACACATGGAGGCTTATTATTACTTATAAATGTCCGGCCTTAGCTTGGCTTGTTCCTTGCCAGCTGTTCTTAAATTATCCCAACTACCTTTTGCCTCTGGGCTTTGATCTTTCTCTATTCTGTATTCCTTTCTTTACTTCTTGCTCCATGGCTTGCTGTGTAGCTGGGTGGCTGCCCCTGGTGTCTTTGTTTCCTTGTGCTCTTGTTTTTCTCTCTTTATACTCTCTGCCTGCCAGCCCCGCCTGACCTTGCTCCTGCCTTGCTATTGGCCGTTCATCTCTTTATTAGGACCATCAGGTGTTTTAGAAAGACACAGCAACACAAATTCACAGAGTTAAACAAATGCAGAGAAAGTTAGTCACACACCTCAAAATAATATTCCCCAACGTGTACCTTAGTCCCAGGGAAGCCAGAGGAGGACATTGAACCCCTGGAATTGGAGTTAAATGTGCTTGTCAGTCACAATGTGGGTGCTAGAAACTGAATTTGGATCCTCTGCAAGAGCAGCAAACCCTCTTAACTGCTGAGCCATCTCTCCAACCTGTAGATCCCCTTTCTCAATCTCAGGTCCTGAGGTCTAGGTCCTTTGTATCTGTAGCCTTGTTCCCAGATTTGTAGCCAGGGGACTCACTCTGGCCCCAACTTTGAGGTACATGTACCCACTACAGCTGAACTAGACAGATCCTGGGGAGCAGGGACTTGAGCTACGCAGCAGCTCTTGGGTCCATGTGTCTCTCCTACACTGTGGCATAACAGGAGAAGTGGGGAGTGGTCAATTTAGGAAGCAGTTGAGGTTTTCCCTATAGCCCATGCTGGTTAGGAACTTGTGGCTACACGGGTCTTCAGCAGAGAGCAGTCCCCACCTTTTTACCAGAGCATGAGTACACCCTCAGGTACGCTCTGCTACCCATTGTTGCCTGGAGACAGAGCTGGCACCACTGGCAAGTTGCTGACCAGACATAGCCAGTTTGCCAATGCCCCTGACCCATGACCACCTGCTCTCTTCCCAGGCATGCTACGGGATCCTCAAGGTGCCTACGGGCAGCTGGCTGTGCCGGACATGTGCCCTGGGAGTCCAGCCCAAGTGCCTGCTCTGCCCCAAGCGAGGAGGAGCCTTGAAGCCCACCAGAAGTGGGACCAAGTGGGTGCACGTTAGCTGTGCCCTGTGGATTCCCGAGGTGTGTAAGCATGGGAGCTAGAAGATTTCAGCGAATAGAACATGGGGAAGGGGTGTGGAGAGCTCGGGATGGACCTGGCAGAATTTAGGTGAGCGTATAGGAAAAGAAAGGGCTGCTGGGCTCCCGTGAAGACTCAGTGACAGGTTTGGGAATAACCAGGAATATTGTCTGTGGACTTGGTCATAGGTTAGGTGCAATGTCTACTGGGAAGTCAAGTGACTAGCTATTGGACATTCAGGAGGGATGATTTGAGGTCCAGACTCCAGTCAAACAGGAAGGACTCAGATTATGAGATCCATCGAAAGAAGGCTTTGGTTAAAATCAGAGTGAACCCAGACTTGTTGGCATATGCCTGCAAATCCCAGCACTTGGAAGATGGAGGTGGAAGGTGATGGGCTCAAGATTATCAGCTAGCTGCATCTTGAGTTTGATGCTCACCTGGGTTATATGACGTCCTGTCTCAAAACCAAGCAGGGGTACACAGATAATCTCCTGGTCTAGAGGGTAACAGCCGGGAGTCAGGTAGTGGGTGGGCCTGCCCTCTGACTGGGATCGGGGTGCAGAGTCTGGGGTCACATGGGAGGGCCTTGGACATCAGGCTGGGTCCACAGTAACCATCCATTTCTTTAACACGAGAGATGCTAAAATCCACAAGGATTTTGGTCAGCTCTTTTGTATTGCAACACCTGTCCATTGCTTACAGTACCTAGTAGCAAGCTAGGAGACCCTGTTAGCATGTGGTTCTTCCTTTCCTAGTTCTCAGTCCAGAGGTTCCAAACCACTGAGGTCCACCTTGCCATTCTTGGGGTAGTGGTTGTTTGTGTCAGATTTGCATCTGGAAGCCAGGACTGCCGCTCAGTGCCCTCTCTCCTGGTTACAACAGAGACAGACTGACCTATTAAGAACCCCATCCTCGGGGGCTGGTGAGAGGGCTTAGCAGGTGCTTGTTGCCAAGCCTGACGGCCTGAGTTCAATCCCCGGGGCCTACATGGGGAAGGAGAGGACTGACTCCTGCAAGTTGTCCACTGACCTCCACACCTGTGCTGGATCATGAACATACACAGACACGCATGTACCTGTCTCAGAGCCTGCTCTCCCAGGGACATACTTCCAGCCAGCTACACTCTTAAACATACACACTCTGGGGCTAGATCCAAGTGAGCCAGGGTAGGGAACCCAGACCTCAAACTCTGCCCGTGTCGAGTAAGGGAGGACTTGGGACCTGGGAGCTCAACCACGGCTCTGTCTGCACGCTATCTGGCTACAACAGACAGCTTCCCACTAGGCACTGATTCAGCTCCATGTATTCTGCCCAGGTCAGCATTGGCTGTCCAGAGAAGATGGAGCCCATTACCAAGATCTCACATATTCCAGCCAGCCGCTGGGCCCTGTCCTGCAGCCTCTGCAAAGAGTGCACGGGCACCTGCATCCAGGTATGTGGTCTTCTTCCTGCTACCCCAAGCCAACGTCTTACATCAGACAGATGTGCCTAGGGGAACTAAGGCCCCAGTTGTTACCACCGCTTGTCCCCTGTGGCTGCACCACTGATGGGCCTGAGAGGCTCGGTGCTGGGGCCATGCTTGATTCTTCGCCCATCAGGAAAGGACATCTCCTATGTCCCCAGGCTTCCAAGGAATAGGGACAGACCCCACCTGTGGAATGCTAAGAACTTTGCTTTCCCTACGAGAGCAAGTGTCTCTGGACTTGAAGAATACATTGGCCTTTCAGACTGCAGCCCTGACATATGAGAGGAGTGGAAATCTAGATTTCTCTCCAGCTCAGCAAATGGGCCTTCCTGACAAAAGACAGGCTTATTGGTCTACCTGTGATGATGGCTCTCTTCTTGGTGATCATTAGGATAACCCAAGGTTTTCAAAACACAAAGGCAAGCCTCACAGTTCTGATCCAGATGTGGAGGGAGCTGTGGATTTGCTTTTCTCACAAAGCAGGGGTTGCGGTGCTTCTGGTCTCTGCTGTGGGGGTGGAAGGCCTCCTTTATCCCTCTCATCTCCCCCAGGAACCCTGAAAATAGGCCTCCACCCCATTTATCAGCCCTCCAGAAGGACTCTGGACACTGTGACAGTGGTACCTACGTTGGGTATACTCTTGACGAACTGGTTCCAGTGGTCCAGTCTCCATCCAAGGCTGGGAGGCGTGGTCCATCCACCCTTTGACCATTTAGACAGAGAAGGGAGGGATCCAGCTGCTCCCAGAGAGCAGAACTGGGGCAGACTCCTGACTTTGATGGCAATGTAATAAAAAAGGCCTCACCCTCTTCAGCGTACATAAAGTAATTTTTCCCACAGCACAGGGCATCTTGTCCCCAGGAGAGTCATCACCTTCTGGTTGTTGGCTCCCTCGGGGGTACCTGGGATTTGTTCCATTACCTTTCCAGCTGCCCCAGGGCTACCTGGGTTTTTCCAGCCAAAGCTCCTTCCACATTCAGATGTCGGAGCCCATGCCATTTTATGTAGGCTCTCCCCAGCACCCACCGTTGTTCCTGGGGCTCCTTTGATGCCTGACCCTGTCCTTCCCCCCCCTCCAGTGTTCCATGCCTTCCTGCATCACGGCGTTCCACGTCACGTGCGCCTTTGACCGAGGCCTGGAAATGCGGACTATATTAGCTGACAACGATGAGGTCAAGTTCAAGTCACTCTGCCAGGAGCACAGTGACGGGGGCCCTCGGAATGAGCCTACTCCTGAGCCCGTGGAGCCCAGCCAGGCCGTCGAGGACCTGGAAAAGGTGACCCTACGCAAGCAGCGGCTGCAGCAGCTAGAAGAAAACTTCTATGAGCTGGTAGAGCCGGCAGAGGTGGCCGAACGGCTGGACCTGGCCGAAGCGCTGGTGGACTTCATCTACCAGTACTGGAAGCTGAAGAGGAGAGCCAATGCCAACCAACCACTGCTCACACCCAAGACCGACGAGGTGGACAACCTGGCCCAGCAGGAGCAGGATGTCCTCTATCGCCGCCTGAAGCTTTTTACCCATCTGAGGCAGGACCTGGAGAGGGTAAGTGGCCCCGGTGGGTCAGAGGCTTTGCCTAAGACCTTGGCTAAGATTCCATGTGCCCTGCCTGGAGCAGCCAGGGCTCGGGCAGGAAGGCTGCCAGGATTAGAAGACAATATGGGATGAGGGTGTTTCACAGACCGATTCTGCAGACTCTTGGTCTTTGACTCTGTCTGTCTGTCTGTCTGTCTCTCTCTCTTTCTCTCTCTTTCTCTCTCTCTCTCTCTCTCTCTCTCTCTCTCTCTCTCTCTCTCTCGGAGCGGGGGTTTGAGACAGGGCTGTGTAACAGCCTTGGCTGTCCTGGAACATGCTCTGTAGACCAGGCTGGCCTTGATCCCTGCCTCCTGAGTGCTGAGATTAAAGGCATGTGCCACCACCACCCGACTTCTGAGTCTCTCTTGTTCCAGCCTTTTCCCAGGCCTTGGTGAAGGTGGCCTATGGGGACAGGAGGGAAGGATTCTAGTAACCACTGCCTTTAGTCCCACTTCTGACCTCTGTGAAAGGTGACTAGGACCAGAGGAGTCAGTCTCTGTCTTGAGGCATTGAGAACTGGAATTGTCCAGTTACCAGGCAAGCTTGTCCTGGCTGGACCTGGGCGGGCAGGGACCTGGTGGCTGTAACTCCATGGACTGCTGGACAGAGCACAGGGAACAAGGTGACCCCCTAACAGCAGACATTCCCCCACAGAGGTATTCCAGGCCTCGCCTGAGTGAGAGAGAGAGAGAGAGAGAGAGAGAGCTACAAACACATCCGTCTTCATTCTAGGATACAGGATAGAGGTGTGGCTTGGGCCCTGGTGGTACCTGTGGGGCTGAGGGAGGTGAATACTCTGGATCCGTAGACGGGTCCTCTGAATTCCAGGAGCTGCTCTGGCGTTCCTTTTCTGAACGTTAAATTCTAGGGTTCAGAGAACTGTAGAATCGTGTCACGGTGTCCTTCATGGGCCCAGGCAACATGTCATCTCTTCCTGGGCTGTGTTAGGAGACAGTCCTGATTGGAAGCCTCAGAGGGACTCTGTTATTGACTGCTTTTCCTGTCTGTGCCTCAGTGAGCCTGTCTGTCAGATGGGTGCTGAGCTGTGTGGAATGACTTTTCCTGTCTGTGTCTCAGTGAGCCTGTCTGTCAGATGGGTGCTGAGCTGTGTGGAATGACTTTTCCTGTCTGTGTCTCAGTGAGCCCGTCTGTCAGATGGGTGCTGATCTGTGTGGAGTGACTTTTTCTGTCTGTGTCTCAGTGAGCCCGTCTGTCAGATGGGTGGTACACTGTGTGGAGTAACAGTGATTGTCCTCAGCTTCCCCATTCTGCACATCTGCCCTGCCCTGGTGGCTGGAGAGGAACCTCACTGCCTGACAGCCACTAAGTCTGCCACCAGGTCAGGAGGCCGTGTGGTAAGAATCACATGTCCCTGGTTCAGCCAGGCCAGAGGGGAAAGCTGGTTGCATTGCAGCCTCTGTTTCCCAGGCAGTTCAGCCTGCTGTCACGAGGAGATCACAGCTCCTATGGAAGTTGTCCTGAGGCCTCTCCAAAGCCCCACCCCCAGGTCTCCAGGGTCATCAATGTCCCAGAGGACCTAGCAGATTTTACCTCATGGTCTGCGCTGGTCAGCCTGGGTAAGGCCCCCACCTGACTTGACTTCCTGAGGAAGACCTTCCCTGCCCAGGAGGCAGGCTCAGCCGCTGGGGCTCAGGGGGGTGGGTGAACTGATAGGAAGCCTCAGTCTCCTTGGGCTGGAGCTTGACCTTGGATTTGGACTTCGAGGGTGGGAATGGGAGTTGAGAAAAGCAATATTGGCTGTTAACAGTTGTGTAGATTTTCCTGAGCAAGTGTGTCCTCTTATCCCTTCAGCCTCCCACCCCGGTGTCAGCTGATACAGGGGCTACTGTCTGAGGCTGGCGAGGCCTGCTATGCCAGCAAGCCTGACCAGTCAGGATCTAAAGGCTCACGGCAGGTAGGGCGACCACAGATCGCTCCAAGGGCAGAGTGACACCTATCTGAGCATCTAAAGAAGAGGTGTGAGAACTTGGAAATACTTGGAACACTGTGACAGCTCTTGGGGGCTTGTGACAGAAGCCCCTTTTCTAAACTGCTTCCCAGGGTCCTCAAAGCTGAACACAGCTATCAGATAGCGTTGACACCCAACCTTGGGCCCTCCCAGGACCACACGTTGGTGATTTAGACCAATGAAAATCAAGCAGGGGAGGGTGGTCTCTGCAGAGCCCCATGGTGGCAGTAGCCTGGCCAACAGGCCCAGTCTCCAAACATGGCCTAGAGCCAATAGCAGAGAGTGCCCCGCCTTTGCCTGGGCACCAGGCCAGCTCGGGCCTGCTTCTGGAGTGAGTTGGAGTTGGAGGTCTTGGGTGGCCTGGCCGTTTACTGACTCTAGTCTCCCCCGCCCATCCCCCAGCTCTATGACTGTTTCTGTTTCCTTTTCCGAGAAATGGAAGCAAGGATCCAGTTGGGCATGGGGTCACACAAGGACAGTGGCCTGTGTGGTTTATTCTGTTTGAGGCTAGGTCTCACCCTGTAGCCCAGGCTAGCCTCAGACCCATGGCAATCCTCCTGCCTCACCCTCCCTAGTGCTAGAATTAGAGGGATATGAGACCCCTTACCTAGCCCATTGCAGGTTCATTGTCACCTTTGTCCCCAGAAGCAGTTCAGCTCTGTGTCCCCAGAGTGGGCTCCCAAGAGGAGCGAGACCTGGAGCTCCGGCATGGGTGTCTTTACTGGCTGTTCAACCGCAGGCCTGGACGTTGGCAGGTGCTGTGTGGATGGGCACGGCCGCTGCTGCCTCCAGAGTTATTCATGGCTGACAGAAAAATTGCAGTAGTGGACATCAGCCCTGCAAATGCCAGCTCATGTCCCCTAGCAACCACGCTGGCTGTCAGGCCCAGCAGGGATGCGATTGTGGTTCTGGCTACAGGAGTTCTTCCAGAGGCTGAACGGACCTTGTGTGGGAGCCAGGAGGGTGGCAGGAGCCCTCAGGAGCCTGTGGGAGCCCCTCCCCTGTTGCCCTCTGAGGGATGGAGAGGACCAGTGGGAGGTGAATCCTGCCATTTTTGGACCCTGCCATTTTCCTCCTTGTCAGTCCCTAGATTGGGGTCTCTTGCCAAAATCCTGAGCAGCACTTGGCTGGTGGACAGTCACTCCATTCTCTACCTCTGTCACCACTCCATCCTCTGGCCCTTTGTCTTCATTCAGCCTTGTCTAAGGACACCAGTCAATTGACGAAAGGGCCCACCCTGACCCCGGATGACTTCATCTTAGCTAATTTTATCTTTCCAGCCCTTACGTCCCATTCTGAGGTTCCCAGCAGGAAATCTTGGGGAAATCAACCCATATAGAGGCCCTGGAAGGTGTAAGTCCGCCAGGAAGTGGTCTGATTTGCATTTCAAGAGCATTGCTGAGGGATGGCTTTACTGTCCCTGTGAAAGGCTGGGGGATGGGCAGGACCAGGCTGTGAAGGGAGATGGTGTCAGTCACCAGGACAGACTGATGTAAACATACTGATGGGTCAGTTGTGGGTGGAGGCGAGACCGAGTCATGGCGTGACTTCTACAACTGTCCTGGGCCCAATAGAGTACCCCCAGAGCCTGCTCCCCACCCCTACCCCCTGCTGGTTGGCTTTGCCCCCCCCATGACACTGTCACCACAAGGCCTAGCTAGGCCTCCTGCTGAGGTTAGCTGTCCTTTTATCCAGGAAGCCTTGCCACCCTCTAGTCCTGGGTCAGGGAGCTCCTCTGCTCTGGAAAGAGAGAACCTGACCTTGTTGCTTTCTACAAATTCCTCCCAAACAATAGGCACAGAGCCAGGCTTGTGTGCAGGATTGTGGAGAGGAGGCTGGTTGGAAGGTGGGCCATGGTAGGAGGGTCCAAGGCTGGCACCAAGTGGTCAAAGTCGAGGGCTGTCCCTTGAGGAAGGGACTGAACATGGGAATTGGTAAAACTGGGGTCAGTGATGGGTGGACCGTGGTGGCCTGGTGTTCACAGTGCAAATTGGGAGTACACACATGGAAAATCCCAGGAAAGTCTGTACTGAATCCATCCTGTTGATGCTTGTAGGCTGATATTTGATCTTCTAGAATCTTTTTCACAACTAGTCTCAGAAAGGAAAGGGGGAAAGCCATACCCAACAGAGATCTGGCCATGCTCCCTTGAACTATGAGGAGTTCATGCTAAGAAGGAGGAGTTTGAATTAAAGGCCACCCCAGGCAGCTTAAGGACAGAGAGACTTAACTAAGTCAGACCTGAAGACCAACATGGGACTAGATGGAGGAACACCTTGGTGGAAACAGGATTCAGGCTGAACAGCTGTGGTCAAAAACAGCTGTCCCTGTTTCTGGAAAGCTCCATATGAACCCAAAGGAAATGCCAGACCAAGGGAGTGTCTCAAGGGCTGAATCCTGGCCTCAGCACCTGAGAAGTGTGTGAGAAAACAGTGGGGGGGGGGGGGGCACTGACAGGTTGACCTTAGATGCTTCCAGATAGCCTGAAGAATATGTCCCTGTCCTGTAGACTTCAGAGCCTGCTGTAAGGACTCTCTCGGCCGGCCTGAGAAAGTTAAAAGGTTGTAAGAGGTTGCTGTCCTTTATAAAGTAAGACATCATGTCTCTGCGGATACGTGAGCATTGGTGGAAGTGGCAGGGGCCTGGCTCAGGTCCTGGTGTAGCAGGTAGACTTGGGAAAGCTATTCTGCCAGATTATGCTCATTTGAAAGTACAGTGCCTCTGGTACCCTGGGGCGGGTGTTGGGATTTACAGGATGCTTGTCTCTGAGGAGTTGCTTTGCTGGGAAAGGTATGTGATGGAGAGACCAGATACTCCCTGCACACTCAGGGTGTGGTAGTGAATTCTCAAAGGTCTTGGGCAGACGGGAAGTAGCAGCCGTGGCCCACATCCGGAAACACTGCTTTCTCCAGCAGCGAGGCTCCTTGGGATGGCCCGTCTGAGATGGTGAGAAACCTCTCTTCCGTCTCCTCAGGTTAGGAACCTGTGCTACATGGTGACAAGGCGCGAGAGAACGAAGCATACCATCTGCAAGCTCCAGGAGCAGATATTTCACCTGCAGATGAAGCTTATGGAGCAAGACCTGTGTCGAGGTAGGTGCTGCACCTTTCCTCCTCCATTGCAGTCATCAGACCCATATGGGAACCTGTCAAGGCCCTGGTTGTGTGAGTAGGCAAGGAGCCAGAGTTGGAGCTGTGACTTTCAAGCTTCCCTCCGGCACCACTGGCTCCCTGGGACAGCCCAGTTCTATCAACAGTGGCTTTGCTTGCATAAGGACAGGTGCAGATCCACAGTTTTCCTGGCTCTGCTGGACTCAAGATAGGCAGGAGCTGGCCAGCTTCCCTGAATCCTGGCGTGCCTGGGGGGTCAGTCCACAGGGAGGCAGCTGCAGAGATGAGGCCGTACGTTTCTTCTCTCTGGTTTTGCGTGATGAGATTGTGGCTCCAATCAGCTGTATTTTCTTTGTCCTCTTTCGTTCTCTGGGATAACATTCATTTATCCAAATCTAGAAATCGGGAGCAAAGGTCTTGCTTGATGTTGATTGCATTGGTTAGTTACAGACTCTGGACACGTTAAGGAAAACATGCTTAGCACCCCACATACACATGCCATCATACGCAAATGTTGAACATGTGCAGCAGAAATGACCGGGTAGACAGCTTTGGAGACATGGACTGCCCCTGCCCACTCAGCCTGTGGGTCATTCTGGGACTTAAGTGAAAGAGGAGGAGAGCTGCTGGGTGCCATTAGAGGGAGTGCTGCCCCCTTCTCTGCCAGTAGCTGAGTTGTTCCCTTTAGCCTTTGGGGTTACCAGCACTCGTGGAAGCCAGGTAGGTGATGAACCCAGGTACCTGTGAACCCAGTGCGCAAGAGGTTGAAACCAGAGGATTTTGAGTTCAGGGTTAGCCTGGGCTACATACTGAGCTCCTTTCTTTAAAAAAAAAAAGAAAGAAAGAAAGAAAATTTAAATTAAAAAGAAAAAAAAGAGTTGGAGAGATAGATGACTCAGGGATTAAGAGCACTGGCTATTGGGGCTGGAGAGATGGCTCAGAGGTTAAGAGCACTGACTGCTCTACCAAAGGTCCTGAGTTCAATTCCCAGCAACCACATGGTGGCTCACAACCATCTGTAATGGGGTCTGGTGTCCTCTTCTGGCCTGCAGGCATAGATACAGACAGAATATTATATACATAATAAATAAATATTTTTTAAAAAAAGAGCACTGGCTGTTCTTCCAGAAGATGTGGACTCAATTGCTGGCTCACAACTGTCTGTACCTCCAGTTCCAGGGGATCCAGCACCCTCTTCTGGTCTCTGAGTGGCTGGGCGCATAGCTTACTTGATAGGGCCCTTGCCTAACATGCATGAAGTCCTGGGTTTGATCCTCAGCACTGCATAGAACCAGATGTTTGTTCTGGCGCACATCTGTAATCCTAGCACTAGGGAGGTAGAAGCCAAAGGATCAGGAGTTTCAGGTCATCCACAACCACGTAGTAACTTCAAGACCATCCCTGACTATATAAGAACCATTTTCTTTGTTGCTTGTTTTATGAGACAGGGTTTCTCTGTATAGCCCTGGCTATCTGTTGACCAGGCAGGCGTTGAATTCAAGAGATTCTCCTGCCTCTGCCTCCTGAGAGCTGGAATTAAAGGCATGCGCAGCTGCCTGGCTAAGAACCATTTTCTTACCTATATTTATTATGTGTGTGAATGTTTTGGCTGCATATCTGTACATGCCCTGCCTGTATCCCTGGTGCCTATGGATGTTAAAAAGGGTGTCAGATCTCCTGGGACTAGAGCTAAAGATGGTCATGAGCCACCTATGAGTGCTGGGAATTAAACCCAGCATAATCAAAGGAAAAAAGAAAGGAAATTACTGTGGCGTTTTACAGAGGTCAGAGCAGGTCATGGGCTTGCAGAATTGTCTGCTCTGTAGCCTCCAGACCTTTCTAGCTTACAGTTTGCTCTCTGGAGCGAGAAAGTAAAGTGTCCCAGGATGCGCCGTCAGTGGCGATCTGGGGACGGAGGTATTGAGGGGGACACTAGTGTCCCTGGGTGTGTGGTCAGTGGCGGTTTGGGGACGGAGGTATTGAGGGACACAGTAGTGTCCCTGGGTGTGTGGTCAGTGGCGGTTTGGGGACGGAAGTATTGAGGGGGACACTAGTGTCCCAGGATGTGCGGTCAGTGGCGGTTCGGGGACAGGTATTGAGGAGGACACCACAGCACTTGGAGGAGGCCCGAGAACTCCCAAATCCCGTACAAAGTCCTTGTGTTCAAGGAAGCTAAGATTAGCAAGGAGGAGTAGCGCCTTGGAGCACAGAATCCTACACGCCAGAGTGTCTGCACCCCAACCTAAGGTCTGGAGATGCTGTAGCTCCTTGTCCTGGGTAGGAGAAAGCACCATTGTTCAGTGCAGTGCCTCTTCAAAGGAGACTGCTTTACCCCTGCTTAAAATGGATGAACCTAGGGGAAGGATGATGCCTAGAGGAGGCTGTGGGGACCAGGGTGAGACATGGGAGGTCTCATGCCTGGGGACCGTGTAACAGGCAAGGAAACTGGGGTCCAGCTAAAGGCTCTCAGGGTGAGAACATCTCAGGACACGACTTGCACCCATTTAAAACAGTGTTCGGGAAACCCTTCTGCTTCTGCTGAGGAACTGGGGACCTTCTTTTGTAGACCAAGGGGACGCAAGTGCCAGATACAAAACTGGAACCTCTGTGTCACCACAGAAGCAGGTTAAGAGGCGTTTGGCTGTGGTGTCAGCCCCGAAACCAAGCCTCTTAGCCCCAGGTGATGCTCTTCTGCCCTGTGTCCAGCTCCTGGTCCTACCCTGTCCATAGAACATCCAGTCACCGTTGTCACCCCGCAGGACTCAGCAAGGACTGTCCATTTCGTAGATCATACTAAAGTCCAAGCCAAGGCCTTCCTGTGCCTACCCCAAGGCCTTCCTAGAGCCATGGGCAGTTTGTTCTCCTCCAGCTCTGCCTGTGTCTGACACCCTGACTGTAACCTTGGTGTCCAGGAGGACAGACAAAATGGATGGAGGACCGCTGGGCTGCCTCTCAAGTTTAACTCTCTTTCTCTAACCTAGAGCCTCCTGGGAGGCGAACCAAGGGCAAGAGGAGTGACTCGAAGAGGAAAGGCCGAGAGGGTCCCAAGGGCAGCAGCCCTGAGAAGAAAGAGAAAATAAAGGCTGGGCCTGAATCTGTCCTGGGGCAGCTGGGTAAGTGAGGGGCCCTTGTGAGCTGCCATGCACCAGCTCTTTCAGCTTCACTCCATAGGAGGCCAGCGGCTTGAAGCAGAGTTGGCCGCCTCAGAAGAGCCACTTAGACCGGTGCCCACACCATTGCAGCCTCCCTTCACCTGAGATCCCAAGACTTCTAGCTGGATGGAGACAGTTTTGTCAGCTCAGGAGCTGCCCTGGCCAGAATGCTGGATCCTCCCAGAGGTCCCTAGAAATCAGCCCAGTGGTGGGAGGGGAAGACCCCAAGAAGTCTGTCCCTCCCTGTTCCACCCTGCTGGAGTTTCCACCTCCACCACCATCCCCCCCCCCACACACACACACACACACACGGGCTGTTTGCTCAACCCCAGTCAACCTTTCTTGAGCCACCCAGAGACCAAGAGAAGTGACAGCAGACCCTCTAGTCCCTGTCACAATAGACCAAAGCTGAAACTGATCCTGGCCACCCTGTCTCAGGGAGACATCTCTGACAGGTGCTTTCCTCCAAGCCGCTGGAGGAACAGCCTGTAAAGACGCAGTGCCCCCTGGTGGCCTCTCTGTTCTTCCCACTTTGAAATTCTTAGCCATTGAGCAAGGAACTCACTATTTCCCTTCCTCTCCGCTCTGCTACACAATTTGCAAAGCCAGTCTTGGGGTTGGTCACCCTGGCGAGCAGGGACAGTGTCTGGCCCCGCTCTTCGGTGGCCTTGGTGGGAGGGGTAGACAGAACCAGGTGTCTTGCCTGGGTGGGTTGGTTGTCTTGGGCTACCCGAAAGGGTGATACACACCTGCTTTTGTTCTCGCACCCATCAGGTCTTTCCACCTCGTTCCCCATCGACGGCACTTTCTTCAATAGCTGGTTGGCACAGTCGGTGCACATCACGGCGGAAGACATGGCCATGAGTGAGTGGTCTTTGAACAGTGGGCACCGGGAGGATCCCGCTCCGGGTCTGCTCTCCGAGGAATTGCTGCAGGATGAGGAGACGCTACTCAGCTTCATGAGGGACCCCTCACTGCGGCCTGGTGACCCTGCCAGGAAGGCCCGAGGCCGCACTCGCCTGCCTGCCAAAAAGAAACCACCCCCGCTTCAGGATGGGCCCAGCGCACGGACCACTCCAGACAAGCCACCCAAGAAGCCCTGGGCGCAGGATGCTGGCAGTGGCAAGGGCACGCAAGGACCACCCGCCAGAAAGCCACCACGGAGGACCTCTTCTCATTTGCCGTCCAGCCCTCCAGCTGGGGACTGTCCTGTCCCAGCAGCACTGGAAAGCCCCCCACCGCTGGCCTCCGAGACCCTGGACGAGACAGCCCTCATGGCTTCCGACTTGAATGTCCAAGTGCCTGGCCCTACAGTGAGCCCCAAGCCCTTGGGCAGGCTCCGGCCACCCCGAGAGATCAAGGTCAGTCGGAAACCTCCAAGCACTAGGTCTGATGCTGGGACGGGACTGTCATCTGCTGTGACCGAGAGGCCAAAGGTCAGCCTGCACTTCGACACCGAGGCTGACGGCTACTTCTCTGACGAGGAGATGAGCGACTCTGATTTAGAGGCAGGAGCAGAGGAGGTGGTTCGCATGGGGGTACTGGCCTCCTAACTCACCAGGGCCCTGCCCTGGTCCCCCCACAGGGTCTCAGCCCAATCACAACTGCCATTTCCAACTGCTGAGTGTCCCAGACCCACCACTCTGTCGTGGTTTTATTTTTAATATAGAGAGAGTTCTGAATTCCACTCCGTTGTCTTTCCTCTGTGCTGGCCTAGGACATTAGGATTCCTCCCGTGGCCCTGGCCAGGGGCTATGCCAGGTTCTATGTGCCACCCTGTCCCAGCCCATGCAACATCGCTGGGCTTCTGGCTTGATGTAGACAAGGTGAGGGAGAGCTCAGGACTCCTGCCCACTGCCACTGGGTGACACAGACTGTCGTTTGGGCATTATTTCATGGCAGATGGGCCATTCCAGGTCCTGCCCCGCCTTGTCCCCCCCCCAGATTGCACTGGGGTCTGTTTTGGGTGTGGGGGAGGTGTCCTGCTGCACTCCACTGATCCCTAAGGAAGAATAAGGGGTGACACCCAGTCTCTTCACTGTCACAAGCACAACGAGTTTCTATGAGAAAGCACTGAGGGGGTGCAGGGGGCCCGCTGGCTCCCGAATAGCCCACAACATCTGAGGCCCGCCCGCCCACCCGCAACCCCCCTCCCCTCCCTTGCTGCTCTGTCCCTGCCAGTGCCCAGCCCAAGCAGCTCTGGGAAGTGGTTCCCAGAATCCTTCCTGAGCTGTGCTTTTACTCAGGGGACTCCCCAAACAGCCAACCACCCTTCCAGGTGGAAGGCTCCAAGGGAGGGCCAGTGCCCAGCCTGGGGCTTGGGGCTCAGATCAGCCCACTGCAGAGAATCACTCTGGGGCTTCAACTTCCTTTCTTCCTTTGGGGCCAGTCTCGGCCACCGTCTGCCCTCTCCACATGGAGCTGGCCAGACCAGACCGTTTGCCTTTTGAAGTTTCCTAGTCCTGCTAAGAGATGAGCTTCCTCTTCGGTTTCCTTCTGGAAACATCCTTCCAACAAGTGTAGTGGGATCCCGGGGCCCAGGGCAGGCCACTGTTGGCCTGCTGGGGCTGGTTGAAGTATTGCTGGATCTTCCTGTATCCCTTTGTCCCTTGGCGCCTTAACCCCCTTTTCCCTCCCTGACGTACCCTCTTCCCTACCCCTCTTCAATCCCTCCTCCTCCAAGTCCCCAGGTAGTTCTGAAGAGTTTTGATGGAGTGGCCCCAGGGTGATAGCTCAGGGAACAAAGGAATTCCGTGAAAACATTTGAATTTTTTTCTTTTACGAATTACTCTTGGGTCACTTCCACCACTGGTAAAGCCAGAACTTCTCCAACCAGAACCTTGCAAAAGTCCAGTGAACCAGTCGAATCATCCTGAGAATGCCAAAGAATATTTTGACCATAATACACAGCACAGCCCGAACCTGACAACTGTCGACTTGAACTTCCGTTTCAAAGGAGTTGGTTAGCAACAGAGTTCTGAGACTTGGTTATTGCACACACCTACAGAAAAGGGCCCAAGGCCTCGGAGGAGGAGACCGCTGCCTGCTGCCGCTGCTGCTGTTGATTTATGGTCCCTGGGCTGGGCCGCTGTGAGTGTGGTCCTAAACTCTGAGGACTCCCCCCTTTGGGGAGGGAGAATCCTGACTGTGAATCCAGCGTGGTTCCCCCATCGCCACCGCACAGATACACAAAAAGCAAATACACGGGACCTTCACCCACCTCGACTCCAAAACTATCAAGGTACGACGGTGAGTTTGAGCAAAATCAGAAACAAAGATAATGACTTCAGTTTGGTGGATTGGACAAACATGTCTGATTCCAATGGACTCTGAGGGCGTGGGGTGGACTCCAAGGATACTGGGCCTCGGGATGGCATCGGCTACCACCTAGACTTAGTCTGCCTGCCCATCTTGGTAGTAGTGACAATGCAGTGTTGGCGTCAGCACCCCACCCCAGTCTCTTGTTTACTGCCTTTGAACAGACCTTCCTTAACCCTGTGCTTTGAGTCACTTTGGGTCGCAACCTCGTCTGCTGGATTGCCTGGTGGTCTGACCTTTGGGACGCAAAGGGCATGGGTCTTAAAGAACAACCAAACACTGTAGGGCGAGGGAGGACACAGCCCTGACCACTCTGTTCCACCCCAGGTCAGGGGCTGGGCGCTGCTGGTAGACATTAGTGATGAGTGGGGTAAATCCGACCCCTTTTCCTGGGCCTCTGGCACTCTTTCCCCAGGGCCAGGGCTGGGCAGGCAAGAGAGGCGCTTCAGAGAGCCTCTTTATTTTGACCTCTGGGTTCTGGGCCTCTTGGCAGTTGGCACCTGCTTTGGACACGATCCTTCCGCTAGGTCCTGCCTGCCACGAAGCCCAGTTGTCTGTTACTATGGCTGGCGAGAGGGCCCCTTCACTAGACCAAGCCCAAAGGCAGTCTTCCTCAGGCAGCTGTCTCCACCTTTGAGAGGTCAGGCCACAGGGAGGATGAGAATGCCCCATTAGCCTCTCTCTCCCCTTAGCTCCTCCCAGGCCACTGTCCATGGTGTAGATGGCTTTGCCACACTACGACCAAGGCACCATTTTCAGGCCAGAGGCAGTTCCCTTGCCCGCATCCACTACCCCTCCTTAGGGAGGCAGAAAAGGCTCTTTAACTCATTCTGGCTATCGTCCCCTTCCCACCGGCCCTGGCTGCCTTTCACCTCATTCCCTCTCGCCACAGGACACAGGCTAACGTGCAAGGAAAGTATTTTTTATGTATCATTAGGTGTGTTTTGAAACAAGTAAAGAAAAAGACAGGATGCTCGTTTACTTTATTAAATGGGCTCTGACTTTGTACATGGTGTGAGAATCTGCAATGGAAGGGCCACAGGTTCATTGGAGAAACCAGCCACCCAGGTTCCTGGGCATCAGTGTTGGACTCTGAGTGAGTGAGTAAGTGTACGTGCGTGCGTGTGTGCGTGTGTGCGTGTGCGTGTGCGTGTGTGTGTGTGTGAACAGCAGAGCACTGTGCACATACGTGAGCATGCGCGGACACCCTGTGGGACTTGCTAGGGTTTCTAAAGAGTCAACTGTCTGATTCTACAGGAACCTCGGCAGCAGGTTAGACAGGGTTTCCCTGCCATTGCCACATATGGCCAACCTGTGCTCCCGCCTGAAGCTCCGCAGAACAATATGTGATCTCTGTAGTAAGGTCCTTGAGGCTACTCTCCTGCGCCCTTGGCCTAGCTGGCCACATTGGCCAAAGAGCCAGAGGTGTTGGAGTCGGGGACTTTTGGTTGTTCTTTAAGGCCCTTCCTGCCGCCTTCCCTCGCGGACACAGACTTGTGCTCCATCCAAATCATTTGGGGGTGGCGGTGGGGAGGGTGATATGAATGTCACAGGAGGAGACACCTTCTGTCTTTGTTTCAAAGAAAGTGATGTGCCATTTGTTAATATACAAGAGAAATATTGAAAATATATTGAAAAGAGCAATTTTAAATTATTTTTGGCTTATGTTGCAATATTTATTTTCTTGTATTAGAGAAGATTCCTTTGTAGAGAAAAATGTATTTTTCATTACCGCAAAGACCTATTTCTCCTTTTTGTACATTGTCCTTGTTCGCAACCCTTAACGAGCAATAGAATGTCCGGTCACCCGCGGGTGGCCAGTGCCCACTGTGCCCTGCATGATTGTGCTGCTGCTGCTGCTCCTGCTGCTGCTGCATAGTTTCCGGCCCTGTCCTGTCCTGCTCACTCACTGGGGCTTCTGGATTGCGGCCCCCACCAGGGTCTATGTCTAAGGAGCCCACTGCACTCCTTGTGTGTTGGCGAATTCAGTTAATAAAGCAATGTTTTCTGTGCTGGCTGCTGTGAGGTTCTGTTGCGTTGGGTGGGCAGGAGACCTGGGAATCCCACTGCATGCCTCCAACAGTGGCCGGGCTGTGTCTTCATGGGGTGTCTTTGATCTTCAGTGTTAGCCCCTGGCATTCAGGGTCAAGGATGAAGGGGCAACCCAAAATCACAACTCTGGTGAGAGGTAAAGGGCCCCATAAAAGGCTGCTGTGCTCCACACCCCCTACTGGAAAGTATGGGAAGATCTCAGAAATCAGTGGCGAATTCTGCCTCGGTTTGTTTCATTATTGCTCGGCCCCTACTCTGGCCGCACGCTGGGGTCTAAGGAATGGCTTCCAGTACCAGCTGAGGATGCCCAGTCTAGTGGGGACAGACACAGCACAGGGAAGGTGCCTCCGAGGAAGGGCATCACTCCTTCCTTTGGTGGTTAGTATATTGACTGTGTACTACTAAGGTGTTGTGCCCACCCAACCTCCCATTGGAGTCCCGAAGAATCGTTAGAAACTGGTGTAGCACATGGTTGTGGTCCCAGTACTTAGGTGGAGGTGGGCGGATGGCAAGTTCAAGGTCATCCTGAGACTTAGCAAGTTTAGGGCAGATGCTGGGAGGTACTTGTCTGAGATCAGACTACAGAAACTGCTTTTTAAAAAAAAAAAAAGAGGGGAGAAGGGCGGGAGGAGGGGGAGGGAAATGGGAGGCTGGGAGGAAGCGGAAACTTTTTTTTTCTCAATAAAAAATTAAAAAAAATATATAAATAAATAATTTGAAAAGACCTGGTATGCTTGTAATTCTGAGTATAGTTGTTTGCTAACCTCCACATGGGCACTGTTAGATGCACAACTTTAGAAAACTGAAAATCCAGCCAAGCGGTGGTGGTGTGGGAAGCAGAGGCAGGTGGATCTCTGAGTTAGAAGCCAGCCTGATCTACAGACTGAATTCCAGGACACTCGGGGCTACAGAGAGAAATGATGTTTTGAAAAACCAAAAAGAAAAAATCTGGACAACAAAATAGCATCAATTCAATGATTCCACATTTTTTTTTTTGGTTTTTTTTTTTTTTTTTTTTTTTTTGGTTTTTTCGAGACAGGGTTTCTCTGTGGTTTTGGAGCCTGTCCTGGAACTAGCTCTTGTAGACCAGGCTGGTCTCGAACTCACAGAGATCCGCCTGCCTCTGCCTCCCGAGTGCTGGGATTAAAGGCGTGCGCCACCACCGCCCGGCCCACATTTTTTTTTTGAGACTGGTTTTTACTATACCTGGCTGTCCCAGGGTTACAAAAAAAAGGAAGAAAAAAATTAAAAATCCAAAACTTATTGTATCATAGCCACCAGTATTCTTGAGATGAT